CCCCAAAACCCCAAAACCCCAAAACCCCAAAACCCCTTTGTTTATTAAAATTATTGAAAATTTATTAGAAAATGGGCAAAAACAAGGACATGAATCCAGTGATGAAAATGCGAAAGAAGCAGAAAATGAAGGAAAGAGAGAAAAGAAGAGAAATTAAACGTAGCAAAAAACTAAAAGAACTAGAAAAAGAAGATGATTTTGGAGATAGCTATAACCCTAATGCGATAAATGAACTTAAGAATCATGGGAATAGGTTTGATAAAACTGATAAGGAGCATTACCAACAAAATCCACTAACTTGGCAACAACTTCAGAGTAATCTGTATACTGGAAATATTAATAGGTTAACGAACGACTCATATGGGTATCAACAGGAGCAGCCAGCTCAAGGTTTTGGAAATGGGGGATATACTAGCCACGATAATTATGGTCGAAATCCTGCTCCTCAATGGCAAGGTGATAGTTTGACTAGTCAACCTATTTTATACAATGGAGCTCCTGAAGATTCCAAAGAGCCTAGCATTCCTAAAATTCCATCTTTAATGAACCAACCTCCAAAGCTAATGAAAGAAAATGAAAGGAGAAAAATGAATGATGAGTTTGATCCCTTGAATCCTAATAAAGCAAAGAGGAATTTCAAGTTGGATGCTTATAAAACTCCTGAAGAATTAGCAGCTGAAGAGAATCCTCCCCCAAAGCCTGAGCCAGAACCTGAGAAAGAGAAATCAGATGATGAAAAAGAAAAACCCGATCCAATGACAACTAGTAATTTCGTCCCATCTGCAGTGCGGAGGCGAAAGAATAAGAAGAAGGCAGCTAAAATTAAATCACAAAAGGTTGAAGAAGCTCCTAAACAAGAGGAAGCTAAAAAGCCTGAAGAAGAGACTACAGGAATCAAGCCTATACTTCCTCCAGGGATGATGGTGAATCCTTCTGTGAAAACTTCTGAGGTTGATATAGAACAACCTCAAGAAATTCCTGAGATTCCGGAAATTCCTGAAGAGCCAGAACCAGTTGAGAACAAGGAAGATGAGATTCCTGATATTGCCCAAATTCCTGATCTTCCTTCTGAAAATGACTCGAGTGGAAGTGACAACGACGAGGATGCAATGGCAGCTCTAATGGGAAGATATTAAATTCAACATTTGCCAAATTTTATGGGGTTTTGGGGTTTTGGGGTTTTGGGGTTTTGGGG